AGAGTGTTAATTTGCTATTAAGGGTGAAAGAAACCTATACAGGTGACAACAGGAAATGACATTTATTGAACTAGTCACATTCACACACTATCACATTTATCTTCCTAACACCATTGTAAGCTTGGATTGGCCTCTGTTTTATATATAAGACTGAATATCACAGAGATGAAAGGGAACTTTCTGTTAGGTCTGCCTGGGAGAATAGCCCTCTCCCAGCTTCCTCTTTACCTGCCTGAAACCACTAATCACCTAACTGTCAATCACCTGACTATAGGTTAGCAGAGGACCTCAGACAATGAAGTTACTTCCCGAACCACCCCAGTCATGCCTCCCTCAGGGACAGTGCGAGGCTCCCCAGGCTCTGAGATCACTTCCAAATCCTCTATGGTCTCACCTCCCACCTTTCTCTATAATCCCACTCACCTACAGTCCCTGCCCTCTTTTTCTCTTTTCTTCTCTCTCCACAGGCCTTCATGTTGTGTGGCCCACAGTTTGCTCTCCCCCAAAAATCTCTTTTCTGCCTGAACCATGTGGTGGTCTCCTTTCACGCAACCTTACACTTCCCACATTTACATAGTTGACCTTTTGGTTAAGTTCTTATACACTTGAGTGAGAAGTTCAAACAGATCTCCTCTGCTAAGATCAGAGTGAGGCTTTAGGGAAGGTAGGAAATTCAAATGGCTGCCTAAGGTGGGCCTACCTGTACCATTCCAGGATAAGTATGATAGACCTCTGGAAAAATTATTCCAACCTTTAAGTCTACCCTATGCTAGTTTATTTCTTTCTGTCCTCAAAAACCAGCTTAAGGGTTTATTCTATCAGGTCTTCATTACGTTTGTTGAACATTGTGTTGATCTGAAATAGAAACCAGCTGTTACAGAAATACCTCTAGCTTAAGATGTTGGCTTTGGCAGCCACTTACAGCTCTGGTTTCTGCAAGGTGAACTGTTTTAGGCTACAGTGTAGCCTGGTTCTCTGGGAATTCCTTCTTACTGGAGTTCACACTCAGCCCCACATCACCCAATGCATATCAATTAGTTGTTGTACAGTGTTTATTGAATAAATATGGCATCCACCATCATGATGGGTATTCACATGACATTGAGGTTTTAGGAAAAAAAAAAAAGGCTGGTTTCACTTTCCACTTCCCTCAAGGTGCTGGTAATCTGGTTTCCCTGACCTTGAACATGATGATGAAAATACGAGGGTGCTAAGGCATTGAGTCCTTTCTCATGTAGCCTTAGTTAGTCAAGGCTAATAATATATTTATGATTTATAGGGTTGTGATTACTCTCTGGAAATACAAAGAAGGTAGAAAAGTGAGTTTGCAAAACAAAAATCAATAAAATAAAAATAGCTCTATGTCTAAGGGTATATCCCGGGATGTCACTAGATTTGTTTTATGAAGGTCTTTAGTTGAGAGGATAGAAAATGAAGGTCTAAATATACCAGAAGATAATTATAGAAACAGATGATCAGACAGGACAGCTACATACAAAAAGCAAAAGCAAACAAAATCCCAAGCATATCATCTGTGCATACTAGCACAGACCAGAACATACTTTAGGTTCCAAGTGTGTCTTTTTGTTCTTGATGTGCATAAAAATTAACATTGGCCGATGTGGGAGGGAAAAGGAAAGAGGAGGAAATGAATGTTTTATTGTGATCATTTTGGCTGAGGCACTCTGAGATGAGTGGAAACAGTTACTAATAGGTTTTCTTAGGTGAGAGAATTCTGGGAAGGAAGGTCTTTTATGTGGTTCACAACTTTGCTGCCAGTTTTGGCTGGTAGAACTACTGTTTGACCATGACACTCAAGTTAAATATTTCTTCTTCTTAGGAGTTTTCCTTAACTTTTCCCCATTCTCACTATCATTTCGTATCATGACAGGACCTTGTAAATATTTTCTTTATGGCGTTTTTCATGTTATAGTAATTATTTTTTACATGACTAATGCATTGGTAAAGGCTTTCTGTATTTTAGCATAGGATCTAGCAAGTGCTGACACTTAGTCAGCTCTTAGTAAATATTGTAATATGATATGAATGGAAGAGAGTTGAATAAATGGAATAGAAGGGAATTCTAACTTTATTCAATTCGAAGAATGCTTTTATGCCTGCCTGTTCCATAAGAGGTCCCAGAGATGAAGGAACCAAAGCCTTGAAGACCAGTAATCAGAACCCAACACCCCTGTCATTACCAGCTAGTCAAAAGCAAGGGGATAAGAACTGTGTAAGCCAGATTTCCTTGACAAGGTATTTGCAGGACAAGTTACTTCAAGTCTCCAGTCTTCAACAGGAAGACAATAGAAAGTAAGAATAATATCAGAACCTATTTTACAAATCAATTGTAATAATTAAATGAGATTATGACCTATTCAACAGAGTGCCAGGGGAACTTAGTGATTCCTCTGGAATCAAGATTCATTAAAAACACAAAGATAGCTTTGTTTAAACATCAAATTTACCTTTTTTAAAAAAATCTTCTCTTTGATTTTATAAATTTGTTTTTCTTTTTTAAAGGTGAAGATTAAACAAACCTAAGTACTCTATCACGGTGCACTCTAGCCCTCCATCCTTTTTCATTTAATCCTCCTGCTTCTTTTTTTCTAAAACTTTAAAAAGTCTTTAAATGTATATATATATATATATATGTGTGTGTGTGTATATATATATATATATAATTAACATTAAGACAAAGCCCAAAGGTGCCTTCCTCTGTGCAGCCCCCTGCTTGCCCCCACACCACAGAATTCATTCTCTGTTTGGTCATTACCAAAGCTATAGCTAAGAGATCTGTGGCTTCTACCCTTTTGTGTCTAACCCTGTCTCTTTGGCTAAAATGATTCTTGTTTTTCAAAATCACAAGATGAGTGAAAAATATCCTCTTTCTCTATCCTGAGGCCTACAGTTTTAAAACTACCATCTCATGTGAAAGTTTGGTAAAAGCTTAGTCTCAGCAAGCAAGTCTTTTGTTTTTGTTAACTTTATAAGCATGATTGTATATAACTTTGTCCTCTCCTTGATGGCAGGGCTGTGACTTTCTCTTCTTTTATATATGTAGGATCTACCAAACTAAAACACAAGACTTCTTAAAGGTCGTCATCAATTCAAAATACTACCAAATCTTGCAGCACAAACAGGATGTCACTGCAGAATGAGATAGATACACCAAAATATTTTATTTAAATCATATTTTTATATATCCTTTCCCAGATTGGTATTCTCTCCTGCCTATTTTTATTTGCAAGCAAAATAATGTGCAGAGCAGTTTCACAACTTGTTAGCATACCTACCATTGAAGCACAATAATTCTCTAATACGATTAAAGTTCTTAGGTAGGATAAAATTAATGACATTGTATGAGGCTAGAGAATCTTCTCTGTTTCTTTTGTCCATTCATTGTTCCTTATAAATCATTAGCAAATGAAATGTCTAAATATCAAGAAAACATATAAAAACCTGAATAGATGGTTTATTTCAATGTAAGTAAACTGGAATTGTTATGTGTGTGTATATATATATATATATATACATGTATATGTATATACATATACATGTATATCTACATATACATATGTGTGTGTATATATATAACAACTGAAATATTAAGATATCAGGAGTATTTGAAATATACAGGCAGATTAGGTAATATCTAGACATTCATAATTGGAAATAAAATAAAAACAAAATAAACAATTGAAACAAATTTGATACCCACTGTCAAGCAAGTGTCAATATTTTCTCCTTCCAGATAATGTATGTGAGATTCGGACTTGAAAGGTGATTATTTCCTGGCATCACTAGAGCAATGTCCTCTAACTAGAGCTGTTTTAGGAAACAGGAAGCAGTCTGTTGTTTAAGATGCATTCCTTATTTTGTTTGGGAGTTCACCTAGTTCTGGAGTATCCGGTAGGCTCTTGTTATTCTCTCCTTTGGGGCTGGCTCTTTGCAGGAGGCAGCTGGGGGGGAGAAGGCTGGGGAAGCTAACAGCATTGATTTCCTTATCTGGTTGCCCTGCTCTCATAGAGAAAAGTTATATCTTGGAGTCCCTTTTCCAAGTAATGCAGGGACTGAGCTCCAGGATTTACTGGTAGAAACTTACCATCTCACCTGACCAATGGGCTCTACCCAAGAGCAAAAAAAAAAAAAAAAAATGCAGAAGCCGGGCGCCGGTGGCTCACGCCTGTAATCCTAGCTACTCAGGAGGCTGAGATCTGAGGATCGCGGTTCAAAGCCAGCCGGGGCAGGAGAGACCGTGAGACTCCTATCTCCAATAAACCACGAGAAAACTGGAAGTGGCGCTGTAGCTCAAGTGGTAGAGCGCTCGCCTTGAGCTGAAGAGCTGAGGGACAGCGCCCAGTCCAGAGTTCAAGCCCCATGACCGACCAAAAAAAAAAAAAAAATGCAGAAAAATACATCTCTGGGAGCCTGCAGACTGCTCTCAAACACTCATAGTCTAAAATAAAAATAACTTCTCTGAATAAAAAACACTAAACTGTAGCCTCCTTATATAGCCTTTTGAATTTCAGAAAAAATTAAGTTTTAAAAAAGGAATGCATAAGTTTTTGTTTTGTTGTTTTTTTGCCTGTCCTAGGGCTTGAACTCAGGGCCTGGGTGCTGTCCCTGAGCTTTTTTGCTCAAGGCTAATGCTCAGCCACTTGAGCCACAGCTCCACGTCTGGTTTTCTTTTTTGGTAGTTAAATGGAGATAAGAGTCTTATGGGTTTTCTTTTCTGCACTGTCTTCAAACTACTCAGCTTTCTGAGTAGTTAGGATTATAGTTATGAACCACCAGTGCCTGGTGAAGAATTCAAGTACACGCAAAATAAGTGTTTGAGAATTTGCTATCTTAAAAAAAGACTCTCTCCAACTGGTCCCAAATCCCACTCCGACCCAAACCCAATGTGTTTTCTACAGTAATATTTTAGATGGAGATTTATAAAAAGGAAATGGTTCTGGTGAGTGGATTGGCAGATCCAGTCCCTGGCTGACACTTACCTGTTTGAGCCACACATTTGTTGTCATCAACTGATTCTTTTCATCCTATGAAAATTAAAATTAAAGTAATACTGTAAGTTAAAATTGGAAGCTATTATTGGTATTTTGTTGTTGTGTCTTATTTGTTGGCTATTTCCTCTGGTTACCTTGATAATATTCAGAAGTTCAAAAGATCCTAAACTTAGGAATAATTAAATGGCATGTGATACTAAGGAATTGTGAACATTTTACTTAAAATGAAAAATAATTATTAAAACAAGTAACGGTTCATTGTGGCAATATTTATATAAAACTGCATATAGCAGAAGTTTCTTTGATGGCACAAAGCAGAGGAAAATATCTGAACTGAAGATAAGTTTTGCATGCTATTCTAGAAAGAATCCTGGGGCACTGAGCATCAAGTTGGGCAATGTGCCTTGGGGCAGGGGGCTTGGGTTACATGGGAAGGTTATTTTAATGTTGTGGGGACCACAGCAGGATGATTCACTATATTTGGGGACTTAATTTCTTCCAAGAATTTAAGTATGATAGAAGCATGAACTCAAGATAAAATGAACACAGAATGTCTGTGATGGGCAAGTTCACAAAGACGACAGCAGTGTTTGCTTTTGGGCTTAGCACTGTCACTGCTGTTCTGTAGGGAAAGAGCTAAGATTACACCAATCAGCCCTGTTCAAGTACCCTCTTCTTCCCTGCTGCCCACCCACCAGGGACAAGGCCCATCCTCCTCATCCTATCCACCCTCTATGCAAAAGTCCCCTAGTAACAGTGTCACAACAAAAGTTTACTGTGGCAACCTTTCCCTCTTTCCTCAGATCATTTCACTGGCTTTTTGGAGCAGATTTTTCTCCTACCATAATTTATTTGCAACATTGAAAATCAGACACAGGGGAAACAAAAAGATAATTCTGAGAGTTACAAACAGGTGTTGTGTTTAGCTTAGTGCCAAGGATTGCTTACCACATCCACAAGCTGAGATATTTTCAATCCGAAAAATACTTTTATGGAGTCATTAGAATTTAACACAGGCCGAACCCATTTCTGATAACCTTGGAACAAGTGTCTGAGGAGAGCATCTTCACTTTCAGCTATGGAACCAAATTCTGCAGCATCTGTAAAAGTTATCAGGGAAACAGAATTAAAGGGAGCAGCAGTATAGCTGGTTCGGCATCCTGATTTGGAGCCTTCCGTACTTCTCAATCGGATTCAACAGAGGTAGTTCTGAATTGTCTAAACTCCTCTCTAGGTTCAGCCCTTCTCTCTACAAACAAACCACCTAACACCAGCATCTATACCTCTCCCAGCTCTGCTTTCTCATGCAGTTTTCTTTCTCTGTTGGGGTGGACACTTTTGTCCCCAGCTCCTGTTTCCAAGGCCTCATTTTTCTTGATCCCTTCTACCTTATTGGGATGTGTTTTCTTACGTGTGATAGGAAGCCAGCTGGAGAAGATGGCATAATCCTTTTCTGTTCTTAAAAGCTCACTCTAACTGCTGTGAGAAAAAGAGAGCAGAAACAAATAGGATGCCTCACAGGAGTGCGTGATTAGGGCAGTGCAGGTGGAGAGGATGAGATGTTTTGAAGCACATTAAGATCTAAGAAAGGTGTGGAGCCTAGAATGACTTCATGAATTTCTGCCTGTGTGAGTAAATACTTCTTCCCTCAGAAAGCCTCAGGGAATTTCTGTCCTGCTCTCCCATTCCCGGGAAGATTATAGAGTCTCTTGCTGCTTGATGGTTCTGGCAGCCTCCCAACTGACCCGCTCCTTTGAGGCAGCCCTAGTTGTTAATACCAGTGGAAGCACTGAAGTTTGACAAACGCAAGTGCAAGGCCGTGCCTCTCCCTATCGTTTGCTTGCATTTTAATATGCTTTCTTATGTGTAAGAGAAAGGGTAGGGACACAGCCCCAGTTGCAGCCATTTATTGTCTACCCTATGAGGGATTCTATGCACCTCCAATCACTCCTTTCTTGGTAAAGTGCTTCGAGAAGCTGCAGGTACACTTTGCAGGGGGATATACACTCCTTTGTTTTTCATCCAGCTGACTATACTTGGTATTTGGGGTGGGGGATGTCTCATACATAATCATTGACCATCTGCATGTCTCTTGGGAATTCAGAAACAAACATTATAGTAATAAGTTGCTTAATTAAAAGCACAGAACCACTATTTTCTTTGCTTCAGGCCTTCACTCCCTCACTAAGCTGCAACATTTAGTAGATAGGGGATAAAATGGAAAAAGAGTAGCACTGTCCCTCTCACCTTGTCTGCTTACCTAAACAATTATTGTATGCTAGGAACTAAGCAAGGATATCTTAAAGTCACTTAACCTGAGGAAAACATTTGAGCAAACAAATTCTTAGTATGCAAAAATGTGTTTGCAAAGGAAAGTATTTGTCTCAAAGATGGACATCTGTTTTGAAGGGAGCACCTGCTTCATTTATGCCACGGATGTGCAGACCAGCCTTGAATCTCTAAGCCCAATTGATAAAATAGTGTGGCTGGAAGAATGATTAAATGTAACTGGTGTGAGATCCCTTGTCTTAAAGTGAATTTGACTCAAACCCTAATCTACTTTTCCCAATCTACTGATGATGGAGCACTCACTGCACCTTTTATTAATGGTGCCCACTTCCATGTCATTAATGGTGTCCACTTCCATGTCTGGGTGTGTGCCATCTTTCATATTTGCTTTGCTTTACTAATAAACTTTCTTAATCCCTGACTTGATGTGTTCAAAAATTCTTTCTACAACAACATGAACTTGCTACCCACGCGCCAAGAGAAGGCCTCTTTCTAGAACCTGCCAGGTTACCTTAGTTATGGGAAGGCTCTTCCCTGAGGCAGCCTTGTGGTCCTACCTTCACTTTGCTCTTTGCTCAAATGTCCTCCTTAAAGAGGTTATTCCAGGTCACATATCTGAGAACCTTTCTTGTATTTTGACTTCTACCAGAGCACTAAATGGCAGCTTCAGCACCCAGGGGCGCAGTCTTTTACATACTATGTCCCCAGCTCCCAGAACAGGGGTAGGATATAAGGATGCTGAAGTGGTTGGTGAGTGGGCAAGCCCTGGAGCAACAATGCAATTAGCCTTGTGGCCTCTGTTTTGCTGTTTGGTAATTGAGGAGTTTTGGTCACAGCTGAATTTTACTCAGGAGATGAGAGAAAAGAGAAGGACACAGCTGTCCCCTTCTTGGCCTTTTCTTACAGCAGGCAGAAGCTCTCCACAAAGGTAAGGAATATATCTGAAATACACATGTCAGTCTTTTTTGTTGGTATATTTTGTTGGTTGTGGGGCTTGAACTCTGGGTCTGGGCTCTGTCCCTCAGCTCTCCAGCTCAAGGCTAGCACCCTTCCACTTGAGCCACAGCTCCACTTCCAGCTTTTTTTGCTTATGTGGTGATGAGGAATTGGACCCAAGGGCCTCATGCATGCGAGGCAAGCACTCTACCACTAAGCCAACTTTCCATCCCCTCTTAGTCTGTTTTTTATGCTTCTTTGAGAGACTACAATAGACTATGTCATTCATAATGGAGAGAAGTTTGTTGACCTGTGGCTATGGAAGCTACAAAGTCAAAGATAAAAAAAAAAAAGGTCTAGCATGTGATAAGGCAGTTTTGTTTCTTCATCTCATGATAGAAAGGTGAGCAGGAAAGGGAGTCTGAGAGAGGGAGAAAGAGTGGAAGAGGTAAAGAGAAATGGGGTCCAAACTTGCCCTTTCACGAGAAACCCATGTCCTCAGTAGTGGCATTAGCTCATTCTTCATGAGGACGTGCACCCTCAACACTGCCACATTGGGTACTTGTTTACCAACATGAGGCCTTTTGGAGAAGACATTCAAACTAATAGCACAGTGACAGGTGTTGCTAATTCCTGTCCCAGTCACTTCCTCTTTTTCCTTGGTAACAGGTGCTAATTTTAATCAGGGTTGCATAATACCTGCTTAAAATGTTCAGTTTCCATGTCCTAATAGATAGGGACAGCTAATAACTGTCAAGTAACCAATTAAAATACAAATGGAAATCAGGCATTGATCGCTCATGCATGTACTACTGAAGAGGCTGAGATCAGGGGATCATGGTTCAAATCCAGCCCAGGCAGAACATTTTGTGAGACTCTTATCTCCAATTAACTAGAAAAAAAAAACAGGAAGAAGAGGTATGGCTCAAATGACAGAGCACCAGCCTGGAGCAAAACAGCCAAGGGACAGCACTCAGGCTCTGAGTTCAAGTCCTAGATTAAATCAATTAATCAATCAAGCATTAATTAATTAATTAAACGGAAGCTATTGGATAGGGTTTATACAGGAAAGAATATTAGAGGATGCACTCAATCTGATGTGCCCATCCTCTTCTTGCATCCTGCCGGGAACTGAGGTTCCATGTGTAGATGTGATCACCCAGGCTTCCTAAAAGCTTGATTACAGCTACACTCATAGGATGGCAAAATACAAAGGTACTAGAATCCTGAACTGTCTGTCCCAAATTTCTCATGAATGAGAAAAACAATCCCCTATTTGGTTAAGCCATTTAAGCCACAGTTACATGAATCTGAATGCTGTCCTCATTGATGTTATACCACTCTAGTAGCTTTGGACCATGGTGGTATTCTGACCTTGCTGGGAAGTTCTTGTGTCCCATTTTAGCCTTATTACCTCAAGTTATTTCATATACCTTCTCACAATAGATATAGACACTTCAGGAATGCCAAAAACTACAAGTAACTTGGATAATGTCAGGACCAGTATGCATGCATGCTCCTCCTCTCCTCCCCTCCCCTCCCCTCCCTCCCTCTTTCTTTCTTTTTCTCTCTCTCTCCCCCTTCCTCTCGTTTCTTTTTTTTTTGGGGGGGGATCCAGTCGTGGGGCCTGAACTCTGGGCCTGGGCGCTGTCCCTCAGCTCTTCAGCTCAAGTGCTCTACCACTTGCGCACCACTCCGGCTTTTTTCTTTTTGCTTATGTGGTGCTGAGGAATCGAACCCAGGGCCTCAGGCATGCAAGGCAAGCGCTCTACCACTGAGCCAACTTCCCAGCCCCTCAAGTTTCTTAGTTAAGACAACCTCAGCATGAGAATTTTGGATACACAAGCAGGTTCCTGAAGACAAGCATGAACTTAAAGGGAGGTGGAGTCACATTTTGGGGAAGAAAATCTAAAATTACAACTTTAACATCCCCATCACTTGCAACCACACACCTCCTCTCCTTAGTAAGGATATCTGGGTTCTGTTCTTCCCCAGGATCAAGGAAAATGAGTAGCTATACTCTTCAGGGACCTGTGTATATTCTAGTCCATTCCAATGAGGTTTGAGCACACAGTTTCCATGTGATGTATGTCAGAAACATGTAGAGACTGAATGTTTGTATCCCTCAAATCATGTATCAAAACTCTGACCCCCTGACTTTTGCATGGAGACAGGGCCTCTATAGAAGAGATACAAAGGAAAAACCATGTGAGGGCCTAGCAGGAAGGAAGCTATCTACTTGCCAGGAAGAGCCTTCACCAGAAGCTATAACTGACAAGAGAGTTTATGTGAATGGCACTGACACAAAACCAGACTGGTAGATAAATGGAATAGACTAGATGAATTCAGAATAAATCCACATAACTATAGCCATCTGATTTTTGACAAAGGGGCCAAAAACCTACATTAAAGGAAAGATAGTCTCCAATGAATGATGCTAGGAAAACTAGATTGTCACATGTAGAAAATTGAAACTAAATCCCTATTTCTCATTTTGTACTAAAATTAATTCCAAAGTGGATCAGAGACCTTAATGCAAGATCTGAATCAGTGAAACTATTACATGAAGCACAGGGAAAGATATAGGCATAGACAATGACTTCCTGAATAAGAGTCCAATAGTTGGTCAAATAAGAGTAAGAATTGACAAATAGGATTGTATCAAATCAATAGGTTTCTGTACAACAAAAGAAACAATTTCCAGAATCAAGAGCTAACCCACAGAATGGGAGAAAATCTTTGCAAACCATTAATAAAACAAGGATTTCTATCCAGAATATTTAAAAAGCTTAAAAGAAACACCAAAACAAATAAATAATCTAATTAATAAGTGAGCGATCAACCTCAACAAATGGTTCTCAAAAGAATAACTATA